GACACTGAGTGAAGTGATGATTTGATGCCTACGGTATCTTTGAGTATCCGAGCCTGTATGATTTGGAACTTAATAGTACTACTTGGCAAGACTCAAGTTTCGTGTTAAAGCTTGGTCCCATATGAAGACTTCATCTTTTTGTTCAGCGATCTTGCTTCCATGATCGGGTAAGACCGAGATATTAAGATTACCCTGGGAAATACTGCTAGTTGTATCGTATGATCAAACTAAGTTTGTTTATCGTTCATATGTGTGATTGCAATTGGGCAGGTTGGGGGAAATTTTGAAGTGAGGAAATTCCCTGTTTTCTCCCTTTTTGGCTGTCTTGTTTTGACCTGCGTCCTGCATAACTTGAAATAAACTGAGAATGAGAAGGGCTATTACCTGAAAAGCTCGGTGTTTATTTTTTTTCATTTGAATCAAACTAAGAACAAATAATGGTACGAGCTGAGACAGTCACGAAAGAAGGGGCGTGCACGCAAGTGGACGTGTGATTGTACTAACTGGCGGGATGTAAGAACAGACAGGCGTGTGAGATTCCCCGCCTGCGCACAATCGCTCTGACTTGCAGACATAGAGATGCCCAGGGGTAAGAGTCTACAAGCAAAAGCAAAAGGAAAAAGTACAGAATGGGAGTCGGTCGTCTTGAGCTCCTCGGAGAGGTTAGTCGATGACATTGCAAAAGTGAAGCAAAGAGGCCGCACGAGCTGGTCTAGTGTTCAAAGCCCAGCTCGAGTGCTGCCTTCTGACTCCGACCACCTTTCCATTGTCGTGGTCAATGAGAAAGAAACGGTCCGTGATACGGAAGATAGTTTTTCTGATAATTAAATATCTGCTTGATAAGCATTAGATACAGTGGTCAGACTCTTAGGTAACGCGAACCACGGTTAATGGTAAACTATGTTTCTAAAGATTATCTGATTAGAAGTTTAGTTTTGGTGGAAACCAGTTTTATTTTGATGACTCCGTATTCTGCCAAAAGTGGGCTTCAGTAAAACTCACCAAGATCCTCTCGACAAAAGGGAAGGGGAGGTGCTAGTATGCAGTCACGTGCTAGTATGCAGTCACGTGCTAGTATTCAAACAAGCTTGTGAATTATGCCCAACCAACTGGTAAGGCCGCTCTACTGACTCCTTTCTGCCTCAATCGTTGATGAAGGTGATATCTGATGTATGGAAACACAAATTGCACTCAGACTCTATTTCTTGCGAAAGGCTGCGGTGCTGAGCCAAAGCGTTGAGCCCGAGTGTTTCTAAGCCCAGAGTGGGTCATCGTACGTAGTTCGAATTACCTGTTGGGTAATTGAATGAAAAGGTGCATGGGTCTTGTTTCCATCTACCTGGGGTTGAAACTCTTATCCAGGGTGCTCACACAGTGGAAAAACCCTGCGTACGACATGAGCCTGGGTACTACATGAGCCTGGGTACTACATGAGTCTGGATGCTATATGACTTATTTCACCAAAATCGCTTACCTGATTCTAGTCATTACTGACCAAATTAAATTTTGCCCTCTCGGGTCCGGTCGAGCAGACCCTGGTGCACCATACAAAAATGGCTTGATTCGGATGCGTTGGGCTCCTCATCTGGACAAAAGAGGTAACTGAGAAAAATACATTAAGAACATCTGGCATGACCTGACGCTAGCAAAATTGAAGTCTCCATGAAAACAGTAGTCAAACATACAAGGGTATCATCAGGCTTCATCAGTGGTATTCAGGGATTTATCATCAGTAGATCCATCTACTACATCAGTGTCGACCGACAATTAAGAACAGTCATTTTCACAATTTTCACTAACCAGCATAACTAAGGTTCGCATAGCGCCCGACGTGGCTTCAGTCTCGGTATCAGTGTTCTGGAGGTGTTTCACTTACTGTTGGTTACGTGAGCAGACGCTAAATGCCATCACCTAAATCTCCTCTTCCACTAGTTATCAGTAAGCGGATCTGATATCTCTTCAGTGAGACGAAAGACTGAGGAATTTAGTCAATGCAGGAGTGCCTCTACAGTCACTAGAAAGATGTATTAACCTGAACGATCCAGCTGAGAAGTAACTTTCCACTCAGGGTTGTGTAAATGTTTGGGTTCTCTGTGTATTAGATGGTCCATGGTTGAATCTCTGAGTGCGGAGGAGTCATGAAAAGGGGGAGGTTATAGTGGTGAAGAGCAGATTAAACAAGGACAAAAGAGAAGGATGAGAGGAAAAAGCTTGCCAAGTCATGAAAATACACAGAGTAGTTCAGCGTGAGCATGCAGTTCAAATGATGACCGGTGAGGTGTACATTGAGTATGTAATTTACTTTTACGGGCATGACAACAAAGAGCACAACATCAGTTCCTCGTTGGAGACTGTGGAACGAGCCAGAACAGAGCTCGCACGAATCCAATAGTGCCTGAATCACCCTTCCAAAAGATCTATCAGCATCTGAGCGGGAAGCATCCTCAACGCTTTTGTTGTTCCATCTCGCAGTATGAGTGAATCAGCTATTGGGTGTTTAAAATATCAGCGAACTTTTAGGCAAACACTCAGACAAATACTCAGGCGATATTCAGTCAGCATCCAGACAACACTCAAGCAGACCCTTAGTCGAAGTCAAACTGATTATCCTCAGTTCAAACCGCTCGAGACTTATAAGCGGAGACAATCATCACAGACCTACTCTTCTTATACAGTCCTAGAGATCAGTCTCTGGTATCTGTCACAACACATGGCACGATGACTTGTTACTAGCAGTCTCAACATCATTCAGTTTTTCAAATCAGCATTTAATCAGTAATAATCGGTTTTCTTATCAGCAGTCAATCATTTTTCTGATCAGCGGTCAATCGGTTCTCTAATCAGCAACATTCAGTTTCTCGGATAGCAATCAGAACAGCAATCAGAACAACAATCAGAACAACAATCAGAACAACAATCAGAACAGTTATCAGAACAACAATTTGAATAGTTATCAGAACAACAACCGGAAACAGCAACCAGAAAACAGTTTTCAGAAGCAGCATTTGGAGAACAGCGTTCAGGGTAGTATCCAGAACAATATTCAAGAGACACTAAGACAGTGGATTTCAACGAATCGAGCACAGTCTCTTTTTCCTTTCCTATGTGGGAGTAATTGTTTGCCGAATACATGAGAGAGATCAACCCCATTACAGTAGACCAGTCGATCCTTGACAGCCTCAACGTGATTGCAGCCAAAGAGAGTTTCCCTTACAAGTATGTTAGTATCGATGGATTCAAGCGTGAAGATCTGCCTATCTTCATTGTCCTTACTGAGTTCGTTGAGGGTACAGTAAGCGATCTGCGGATCTTTCTGAAGAAGGGGAATGAGAAACACCCTCATTTTGATGCAGTGTGGGCCGCAACAGCCGGGTTCGTGCAATGGAAAGCTGAGAGGGTCCAGGGGAGCATAAAGCTAGTCTATAACTTCGGCCCTAAGCTTTTCACTGACTATACCAAACCGTCGGTCCCATACTATCTGACTGACGGCTCTTACTGGGGTGGACTGGTGGACTTGGCCAAGAGATACGTATCGCCAGCAAAGATTGACTACGAGGCGGTGACAGAACCCTCTGAGTTCCCACATCTTAGAAGGGGCATTTTTTCTCAGCCCTATCTCCCCACTCTATGGGAGAAATTTTGTGCTATGCTTCACTTCCGTATCATGGGACTTGGCTGGAATTGTTTGGAATTAGTGGGCTTCAGGTGGCTCTACATTCAGAAGCCACAATCTTAGAAAGTACGGAAACATGGCAAGAAGCCCAGATGACAGGCAGCAAAGTGACAGATGGAGAGTGAAGTTCAGAGGGTTGAGTGAGGACTCTTGATTGGTGCTGGCCATGCTCTCTTCTATATGTACTCATTGAGACTATTATAAGTTTTCATTCTTCCCTCATTCATTTGCTCCTGTCATTGTTCGAGTCAGTCAGTCCTGCTTCATGCATTGTCCTTGCCTTATGATTGCAATCGTGGATGATTCTGTCACAGTTCTCAAAATCAGATTGACATAATTGACGCATGCTTGACACTCCACAATTTTTATGATTATTATTATTTGCATGATTCTCTACTGTTCTGAATCAAAATAAAAGATTCCTAAGACCGAGTGTACCGGCGAAGACCGCAATTGAAGGGTTTCGCTCGAAGCCGGACGCACACAACAGGAAGGGATTTGCATTATTTAATTTATTTTATTTATTGCAATCACATACAAAACTTTGCGTGACAGCCTATTGGCTTTCTAGTCGCCCGAAGTGGCTCGACTGGAAAAAGTGCGACAGCGGCGCGCACACACACACACACACACACACACACACACACACACACACTCTTAGCTGTTCTCTCTCTCTCTCT